GGGGCGGAGCCCGGGGCCCGGAGGAACGGGTGGGGGCACCCAAGCCCGGCTCCAGGCTCCGGGCTCCCGGCCCGGCTTCGGCCCAGTGCGCACCAGAGCCGGGGGTGGCCAGTGAGACGGGGACGGAGAGGGTGAGACTCCGGCAGAAGCAGCGCAGACGGATGGGGCCAGACGGGCGGGGGGGCCTCGCTGGAAGCCTCGTGGGCGCCACAGACCCCGGGCCGAGAACCCCACATCCCTTCTGTTTCTTTCTGGCTCCTCCTGATGAATGGGGATTGCTGGCCCCGAGTTCGAGTTTCCAGAACCTGATGTCCTAGGTGTCCCTGTGCCACCTAGGGGTGGGAGCGGGGCGTGTGCAGCAGGACCCTGGGAGGGGACCTCTGCCCCCCCCCCACACACACCCTGAAGATGGAGGATTCTCCTCGCTTGCTTCCAGAGCCGGGACAGAGGTGGCATTTCGCTCTTCCTCACAGGCAGGAAACCCCTCTGTGCACCTCTAAACAGTGAGGCTTCAGGTCCCCCAGCCCTTCAGGAAGGATGCCCAAGCCCAGAGAAAGGAGGGTGCTACGGCGTGGGGTACTACCCCCACCCGCGTGTGCAGTGGTCGTGTGGTCACAAGTGGTCGGATTGTTGCCTGGTGGGGAGCGAGCCCTTTCGGGTCCTCAAGGTCCGTGCCTGTAGGATGGGAGTTTGGAAGCTTCTGCCTACGCTTCAGGAGCTTCCTGGAGCAGTCCTCCCCTCACCCTGGGTGACAGGATCGACCGGTAGCCCTACTGTGCAGATGAGACACCAGGCACAGTGAAGTTCTACACAGGAGGCCCTGTGCCAAGGAGCCTCCGTGAGTTCTAAGGTCTCGTCCTGACCTTCTTGCTGCCGGGAAGTTCCATGATGTCATCCACACGGAGGGTTCAGTACCTGCCACGATGCCCTCTGCTAGACAGCCTGTCTGCAAGGCAGGTCAGAGGGCCATTAGCCGTGCCTGAATGTGACTGCAGCCAAGACAGCTGGCGCCTGCTTTCCACTGCTGGACACCAACCCTGACTGCTGTAGGCAGAGAAGCCAGGATCCCCCTTTGCTCCTAACCAGCATAACCCAGGATCCAGGGCCCACCCCAGTGCACTCACTCTCTGGTGCCACTCCAGGGCTCTATGTGTTACACCTTCCTGGAGTATGTACCCTTTCGAACTGCGTTAGTGCCCAGGTTGCACCTGTTAGAAACTACAGGAAAGTCATTTCCTGCCGTGGCTGTGGGGTTTATAGCAGGGGTGGGGGATCCTTGGGACTGCTGGCTCCACTTCCACCCCATCTCACTTTCCTTCCTGCAGCACAGAGAAGGCTGGATCACTTGGGATTCCTCCCTGAAGTTTCACTTCCCCTGGCCAGATTTAGGCTTGCTAAACCCAGCATTTTTAGAAAAATCATTTTAGAAACAGCACGCTGGACATTATTTGAAGGCCCCAGTGATCAAGGTATGTGTTGTTTGATGGTGGCATTTGGAACAGACATATCATAAAGTAACCCCAGCCATAAGGAGTAGTAAGGTACAACCAACTAACAATACATGGTCAGCAGAAGAAAAACAACAGCAGTTCTCTTCTGAGAGTGCTGCATGATGTGCCACACCTGGCCCATTTCCTAAATTGCTCAGCTCAAGAACCCTTTTTGGCTTAAGCACATAGATTCATGCTACCTTCAGCCAGAGAATCCCCATCAACATCCTGGACAAGACCGCACTGAGGTTCTCACCTTACATGCACATGGGGAAAACTGCCGCTAAGGGTCAGACAGGAAGCCAGGCTTTGGAACTGAGCAACATTCCCACTCCTTTTTTATTTATTCTGAGACAGGGTCTCATCAAGTCTCTAAGCTGCCCAGGCTGGGCTTGAATTTGAGATTCTCCTGTCTCAATCTTCCAGAGTGTTGGGTTGACAGGCATGCACCACCATGCCTGGCTCAGTGGTGATCCCTTTGGTTGCAGGTAACCTGAAGCTAATGATAACGAGCTTCATCCAATCAGGGTTCCTGAGCCAAAACGTTTGGGAGGCAGATCTAGATTCGGCACAGCCCATTCCAGAGGCTCAGGAAATTGCCCTGAATCTGTCGCCCTCTGTATCTTGAGCATTTTCTCTTGTGTCCATTTTATCAGCAGGCCAAGTCTCTCCACAGGTAGGCAGGAGTGGACAATGGGTAAGAGGTCACCTCCTTCCCAATCCTTCCAGCAGAAATCTCAGGCTGACTGCCATTGGACAGACCTGGGTCACATGCCCAGTCTTGAAACAATCCTGGCCTCTCTGATTGGCCACACCTGAGTCTCATGACTATTCCTGGACCAGGGCGTGGGGCCATGCACTCAAACCACTGGGACTAGGGATGGGTAGGGGATGATTCCCTAAAGGAAACCAGGGTGCCTTTAGCGGAATTGGTGGCACTGGTACTGGGCAGGCAGGAGCACTGCTGTTCCTTCCCTGAGGGGCTTTTGTTTAGGATAACAAACTCCCCTGTGCAAAGTGCTTGGGCTCTGGTAAGTGCTTGCTAACCCAGTCCCCTCCCTTCCTTCCTCCTCTAGAAAACACAGGAATCAGTGCTCACCAAAGCCAGGACAACTACCTCCTTGTTCGAATGGGGAAACTGAGGAAGGCCCAGAGAGGAGAAGGGACTTGCCAAGGTGTCCCAGCTAATGAGTCACACAGCACCCGCGTCTCTGACTGTGAGACAAACCCTCTGAAAATGTGCGCTGGTAATGTTCAGTCCCCCACTGACCAAGAGCCCTATCTTTGCTCAGGGGACTCGGGCGTCACAGAGCCCTGGAGACTAGGAGGAAATGACTGCCACTTATGTTGGGCTCCCAGGCTACAGTACAGCAGGGGGCTGACAGCTCTGGGCAGAGTGCCTGACCAGGGACCCACCCAGCGCCAAACCAAGTCAGCCACCTCCTCTGGGACTGAACAGCCCAAGACATCCGGATGGCAACTGCTTGTGTAGCTGCCCAAAGAGGCAGGGTGGCTCTACTCTTATTCTGTTTCCTGCTCAGTTAGTGACAGATGTGTGAACCGCAGGGCCAGTAGGCCACTCAGAGTCCTCAAAATCAGCCACTTCAAGTTGGCCCTCAGTTCAAAGGTCCTGGCCTTTTGTGGTTCCTCTGACCTCTGCACTAGAAATCTAGCTAGACTAATACTCTGAGGCTATCTGTCCATCTGTCCACCTGTCTGTGGTACCCAGGATGGACCCAGGGCCTCGAACATGCTAGGCAAATGCTCTGGCCCTGAGCTGCACCCCAGGCCCTGGATGTCTGAAGGAAGATGAGCAAGAATGTCAGGAATCAAGGTGGAATGACAAGGCCGGGCCACTCTGTCTCCTCTTCAGTAAGGCACAGAGTTTTGGGGTGCACATTGAGAAGACATGCCTCGAGGGGAGTTTGGAACCAGATATTGAAAACTTTAAAATGTTGAGCTCCATCCTTTAAGAATGTTTTCTGAAAAAAATGACCAGGGATATCACCGTGTTATGCATAAAGATGTTCACTGCAGGTTTGCGTACAAGAGTAAAACACTTTTTAAAATTCCGAATGCTTAACTGGAAGGCACCAGCTTGAGAGATTATATTATATGTTACTGGAATTGACCATGAAGCAGCATTAAGACCAGGTAAGAGAATACAGAATTCCATAAGAACCAATCACAGTGTGACAGGTCACTCGCAAGAGCAAGTTACAAAAGACTCAGTATGTCTGAGAATTGTAGCTTTCTGTGTATAAAAACACAGTAGCTATATCAAGGCTTGATGGGAAGGAGACTATTTTGTGGGCATTTTGGGCTCTTGCTCATTTTTACTTGTCTGTATTTTCTAACTTCTTTTTTAGTGAATTCATTATACTTTGGTAATTAGAACAAAATGACCACTAATTTTTATAAAAGGATTTGTACTTGGTTTCATTTTAGAAAAGCACTCTCATTTATTAAAAGATCACAATCAGAACTGATATTAAATTGATCTCTGTCTGTCTGTCTGTGTCTCTGTCTGTCTCTCCCCCCTCCACCCCCCTCTCAGGTGACTAGAGAAGACGAGGGTGTTGCAGCTGTGACAGCCACCCCGAAAAGATGCCACAGGAAGAAGCCAGACCTATTTGCTGTGTGACCCTATGCAGGTCACTCAGTGTCCTTGGGCTTCCACTTCCTGCCATATTGATAACATCAAATACTTGGATTCATTATCTCTGGAGTTCTTCCCAAGGCCCAAATTCTATGTGTGGATAAGATCTCCGAGCTTCGGTGAACATTTGGGAAAGCTAAAGTGTGCCCAGCGTGAATTCTTGTCTCCGAGGCTCTGTGGGATGCTGAAAGCTCTGCTCAGGCCCCTGGCTCTTACCTCTCCCTTCTCCAGAGTCCCCAGCCTCCCCATCCAGCTGCCTGGGCACTGACAGCTCATGGGAAAAGCCCACAGGTGCCAGACGCCCTCTGGGGTCCCTCATCCTTTAGGATTTTGACCCCTTGAGTGCCAGCTTGCCGGGGAGCTCTGTGAGGATGTCTGCAGGTTTCCGGCGTTGTTAAGCAGTTTTATCCAGGGCTGCCTGTGGTGTGAGGGGACTGGTGTTGCTTCTCAGAGGCAGAAGCCCGAACCCCTCATATAGCATGCAGCGAATGGAAGGAGGCGGACGGCAGATGGGCTGTATAATGGGCTCCATTTGTATGCAAGACGCATCTGGTTTGTGCAAAAAAGAAGGAGAACAACTCTCTCAAGCCAGACTTTCTTTTCTTTTTAAACAAAAATGTATTTTAAAAATTTTATGGTCTACATACTAAGAATATCCACACTGGAGTTGACCTCTGAGGGCATTTATACCCATTTTATAACCTGGGATGCTGAAGCCAACAACGTTTGAATTTATTTCAGTGGAACAACTATTGCAGATTTGCTGTGGGCAAAGAATCAGGTGAAGGACCATAGGGCACCCAAAGGGATGTAACTGTAGTCGCTTATCCCCCCATCGCCAGGGTCTTCACCTTGTGCTGGACTCCGGGACTCGAGGAGGGAGAGGATAGAGGTCTGCCTGGATTGTACTCTAGTTGCTATGAGGCCACTGGCAAAATGGCTACAACAAAAAGTATTCATTCTAAGTGTTTGGTGAGGAGGTAGGAGCAATTAAATTCCCGTATGCTGTCGATGAGCTCATAGATGGTACATCCGCTTCTGAAAGACACCAATGTGCATCTCCTACAGCCCAGAAAATCCAGTCCTCAGAGACTTGATACTGAGCAACAAGATGCATATATTTCACAAAGCACGTTCACAGCAACTACAACACAAATTCTGGCTGAGGAGAAAGACACCTAAATAAGCTATCCCAAGTATGATGCAAGAATGCCAAAGTGCCAGGCACAGTGGTGCGGGCCTACATGTAATCCCAGCCCTCAGGAGGCTGAGGCAGGAGGAGACCAGGCTTGGTTACATGGTGAGTTCAAGGCCAGCCTCTACTATATAGCAAGACCATCTCAAATAAATAAATAGATAAATAGTCTAAAATAAATGCTAAGTGGCAATACGACAGAGACTGTAGTTTGCTTTTTGGGTTTTGGGGGGTTTTTTTGGTACTGGGGATCGAACTTGGGTCCTTGTGCTTGCGAGGCAGGCGGCAGAACCACTGAGCTAAATCCCCAGCCCCATATTCAACCATTTTTTTTTTTTTTTTGGTAACAGGGATCAAACTGGGGTCCTTGCTCTTGCGCAGCAGGTGGCGAAACCACTGAGCTAAATCCCCGGTCCTGTAGTTTGCTTTTTACTAAACACTTTCCCCGTATCCAATAAACAAAAGATTATATTTCCCAGGCTCCTTTGGAACAATATAGCCATGTGACTAAATCTAACCAATGAGCTATGAGGGTACATATTATAGGGATTTTTGGGAAATCTCTTTGAAGAACACAAGCACACACACCTTTTTTTTTTTTGCTGCTTGGAATATAGGCGTAGTGGCTGGAGCTTTAGTAGCCATTCTGAGCTATCATGTCACCTTGAGAAGGTGGCTACAAACTCAAATGGAACAAAGGAATGAAGAGAGGGAGAGAGGAGCATCCCTGAGTCTTGAGCATTCGAGAAAGCATGGAGGATGTGAAGAGCTCCCCAGTGAGATGGGCAGGGAAGGAAAAGGAAGGGGGCTTCGAGCAGCAGGTCATGCAGGGAGCACAGGCCAGTGCTGGAAAAGGAATGTGGGCAGTGGCTTCAGATCCCAGTGCTGCTCTAAGCAAATCCCTTCTAACTACACCACTTTCTCTTCCTATGAGATGGGAAGAATGCTGTCCTCTGCCGTGCTGGCTGGGTGAGGACAGGGAAGTTAATACCCATGATATGCTCAGAACACGGCCCAGTAACTGGCTGCTGTGTGCTCACCTCTAAAGCGGATGTGCACAGTCCTGCTTCCCAGGGTGGCCTGGTGTGTGAACAGCATGGCAGGTGCTCAGCCGTGGAGCTCACAATCAATATTCAGCACCTCTTCCCCAGCCCCCTACCCTGTGTCATGCCCTGGGCCAGGAGGCCACAGATCCAAAGGAGAATCTGATCTCATCTCTTGTCTTAGCCACTATCTGTCCCTTGGATAGAACACTTGACACCTGGAACTTAAGAGCAGAGGGTTATTCGGCTCACTTTCCAGTGGGCTCAGTCCATGGTCTGCTGGCTCCAAGGTAGAAATAGCGCAGCAGAAGGGTGTGACAGGAAGTTGCTCAGCTCGTGGCAGCCAGCCAGAAGAGAGCGGGGTGCAGCCAGGATAAGAAGACTCCTTTCAAGCCAGGTGTAGTGGTGCACACCTGTAATCCCAGCATTCTGGAGGCTGAGGCAGGAGGATGGCTGAGAGTTCAAGGCCAGCCTGAACTACCTAGGGATATTCTGTCTCAAAACAACAACAGTGAGGCCAGGGATTTAGCTCAGTGGCACCACGCCTGCCTTGCAAGCTCAAGGTCCTGAGTTCAATCCCTGGTACCACAAAAAAAAAAAAATTAAAAAACAAAAACCAATAGCAATAACAACAACCACAGAACACATCCTTTAGGCCACACCCTCATGACAACCTTCACCCAGCCCCGCCTCTTAACTGCACACTCAGCCCAATGGACAAATCCATCTATGAGTATAGCGCCCCATGATCCAGTCACCTTCCCCAAACCCTGCAACTCACGAGGCTTGGGGGGAACATTTTAGGTCTAAGCCATAACATCTCTGCTCTCAAGTTGCTCACAGTCTCAAGGAAAGTAAAGGAACAAGCCCAGAACAGTGTGACACAGGGGACCATGGCCTGCTTTCAGTCAAAGAACCTGGGTGAGGGAAAGAAGTAGTGATCATCTTGATGTGTCAGTGTGTGAACTTGGCCTTGGCTGTCGATGCCCATCATGGTGAGCGGGGCCCAGTCTCCCCCAAGCTGAGCGCTCCCTACCTCTCTAGGTGGCCACTTGGGGCTTGGGATCATGTGGGAGCCCTCCTCTGCAGGGCGCCTGTCAAGACATTTGTTCCTCTCCACACAGCTCACTGCCAAGTTGTCCCTTCCTCCCGGGTCTCAGTCCTCCTGCTCAGCCCCTGACATGGAGGGCACATGGGCCCGTGGGGAATGCACACAGCTAGTTCTCCAGCCCCCGGCTCAGAGAAGGGCGTGGTCCTCCCCACATTCTGCTTCAGCCAACTTATCTGGGACCCTAGGGTCTCTCCACGCTCAGGGTCACGCGATGGGGCCAGGTCCCCCTCCACCTTCCCTTGCAGCTTCTCTGGCTTCCCCTCCCCCTGCCCTTACCAGCCTAGCAGGTGTTATGGGTGGAGCCTTGTTCCTCCCTCCCTGGCACAGTGCCATGACCTTGCCATCAACACATGGAGCTTCCTCCAGCTCCTAGGGTCGCTCAAAATTCGAAGCCAGGAAGAGACCGGTTTCTCTTTCGATGTGGTGCTACAAAAGGATGGCAGCCTTGAGACACAGTTTAAGATGGGGGTGCAAGGCTCCCTGGTGACAGGAATGATCAGGAATGCAGCCAGGGGTGGTGGCACACACCTGTCATGCCAGCCCGAGGGAGGCTGATGCAGGAGGATCACTGTGAGTTTGAGGGCAGCCTGGGCTACTTCGTGAGTTCAAGGCCAGCCTGAACATAGTGAGACCCTGTCTCAAACAAACAGTAAAAGAAATGATCAGGAATGAGAAACAACTTCCAGACCACAGAGGCCCTGGAACCCCACATGTGGCTGGTGGGAATGGAAATGGCACAGACAGGAGGAAAAGCACTCTTCAATCTTAATAAACAGACATCTACCCTCAGATTCAGAAAGTCCAGTCTTCGGTATGTTTCCAAAAGAAATGAAAATATATGCCCACAAAAGATGGAGCAGAAAGCATGACAGCTTGACTCCTAACAATGGCCCAGAGTAGCCACTATAGGAAAATGAATGAACACACTGGTGAATTCCTACCCGTGGGGACTGCAATGGGACAGGCAGGGAGGCGCACTGGAGCAGAATAGAGGAGGCAGAAACAATGTCAGATACATTCAGCTATTTGATCTTTGACAAAGGGGCCCAAAAATATGCCAGAGAAAAAGACAGCCTCTTTAACATACTGTGGGAAAGCTGAACTAGATTGAGTAAAACAGGTGCTAGTGGACATCCTTGTCTTGTTCCTGATTTTAGGGCAAAAGTTTCAGTTTTTGACCATTTAGCACGATGTTGGCTGTTGGTTTGTTGTAGGTGGCTTTTATCAGATTGAGATAAAGACCTTCTTTTCCAATTTTCTGTAAGGTTTTGATCATGAGTGGGTGTTGGACTTTGTCAAATGCTTTTTTCTGCATCTATTGAAATGATCATATGGTTTTTGTCCTTGCTCTGTTAATATGGTGTATTACATTTATAGATTTTCATATGCTGAACCATCTCTGCATCCTTGGGATGAATCCTATGTGGTCATGATGTATGATCTTCTTGATGATTTCCTGCATTGTTTGCCAGTATCTCATTGAGGATTTTTGTTTCTATGTTCATTAGGGAGAGTGGCCTGTAGTTCTCTTTTTTGGTTGGATCCTTGTCTGGTTTTGGTATCAGGGCAATGCTTGCTTCTAGGAATGAATTTGGGAGTATTGCCTCCCTTTCAATTTCATTAAAGAATTTAAGAAGCAGCAGCATTAAAGTCTTCTCTACATTTCTTGTAGAATTCAGCAAAGAATCCAACAGGACTTGGGCTTTTCTTTGTTGATAAGTTTTTAATTACATCTTCAATTTCATTGACTGATGAATTAAATAAAGGAACTATTGCTGTCTGCAATAACATGAAAGAAAGTCAAAATCATTACTCTGATTTTATAAACATGAAAAATAACTTTTATACAATTCTTTTTATAGTAAGTTTGATAACTGGCAAAAGTAATCCGTGGTTCTAGAAGTGGTTACCACTTGGGAAGAAGAGGAATAATGGAAAAGCCCTGCACTTTGATCTTTGGGCTGGTGACCCAGGCATATACATAGGCTAAACTCCACTGAGCTTTATGCTGAAGATTTGTGCGTTCTACCAATACTGAATTATACCCCAGCTTTAAAAACCTCACTTTCCTCCAAGACCCACAGAGGCTAACATTTCAAAGGTGACATCCTCCCTAGGTGCCACGAAGAAGCAAGCAGGCAGCGCCACCAGGAGACTCCACAGCGGCTTTAGACAGACACACTATGATGGGCCAAGGACTAAGGGGCACCTAGGGAGGGCTTCCTGGGCCTGGTGACAGTTCAGCCTTGAAGGGCCCAAGCTGAAGACCAAGCCGAGAGGGCTAAGGGTTCCAGCACAAGGAACTGCCTGCAAGGGCTCGCCCTGAGCCCCATGCATGGAGAGAGGTGGTAGGAGGGGACAGGAGAGGAGGTCACAGAGGTAGATGCAAGTCAGAGCTGTCAGGGCCTTGTAAGCCGAAGGGAACGTCCCAGGGGAGGCTCCCAAATGTCGATCAGACTTGGACTTGAGAAAAGATGCAGGTGGGAAGAGGGGTTAGAGGGGCACCAGAAATCCAGGAGATGGGGGTGTGGCCTGGGCTGGCTGGGAAAGAAGCTTCAGGAACCCCCAGGAGGAAGGTTCATTCTTGCCACAGGGGAGAGAACGCTTAAGGAGGTTTCTAGGTCCCAGCCTTCTGTATTGAGGTGGAACCATTTACTGAGAATAGCACAGGAAGAAGTGCATTTTTAAGGGTCACAGTGGTGGTCCAGATATTGTTTGTGCCTGTTCAGTTCCTGCTTCCCTTATTTCTTGGGACAGAACTTTGCTGTTCCTACAGAGAACTGATTCCCCTCAGGCCACATACCTAAGGTGGGTGTGGCCTTGTTGATTGGGTATAGGGCACATGACTCAGGTAGGGCCAATCAGCATGTGGTCTCTGGCCCCAGTGATTGGTTCAGGGACTGGTACATGACCCATACTGAGCCAATGAGTCAACCCTGAAAAATTCTTCTGGAATCATTTGGAAAG